AAATATATTAATTATTTATGCAACGCATAAAAATTCAATATTTAAATCTTTTACAGAAAATACGAACGAAGAAATAAAATTAGTACAAGAATCTTTTCTGATTAAATATCTACACTTTCATTAAACTCGCGCGAAACTCCATGCCCCATACTCCGTAATGCTGCCCGGCTCGCGCGAGACTGATTCACGAATGCGGGTCCGATGAACACGTGATCAGTGGTCAAATGATCAGTAGTCATGTGCAGTTGTAAAATGATTATAATATGATATGAAGTTTGAGATTTAATCTGTATATATTCTCGCACGCATGCACAGCCATTTCGCAAAGCAAAGTCTGATGTTTTAATTATTATTTACGGTTACAGATTGATTGTCAAGGGAAAAAATAGTTGTTGGGGCATTTTAAAAAAGTGATAAAACCATTTAATTTTGTGCTTTATCATAATATCTTTTGTCTGAAAACGGCACGCAAAAACTTTTAAGTATATTTTTTACATCTGACGTTACAATTCACATTGCTCCAAGTACCAAAAAAAAATCATAATAACAATTTATTTTTAATAATTATACATTATACATACACATTATTCAAACTAGACATTTTATTACTGATTTATTCAGTAAATTTTATTATTTTATTCTGCGTAGATCATTGAATGATAAAATTTATATAATATGTAAGCTCATTAAATGTTTATCGTAAACAATTTAAATATTCGGGACAAAACATAATTTTTCATGGCCACTATTATATTAAAATACAGTAATAAATATCTCTTAATTCTAGTATGTTCAATATTCTTATAATAGATAAGTTGCGACAATTTAGATAAGTGTGAATTAGATAATAATATTGCAAGATCTACCGATAAACGGTTTCAGAAAGAAAAAATACGGACAATTAAAAGATTTTACGAAACAATTGTTTCCCCATTGACATAATCAATCGGTATATATAAAAGAATTAATTTCTTAAATATAATAAAAATTCTATTAGTAGTGATGAAAATTTATATACATCGCAAGTAAAAGCACCTTCTATTACAAAAATATTTTAACAAAGAATATAGCTTGATATCAAACAGAAAAAATGAAAGGTTGTGAAAAAACGCGTATATAATTTATTGTAAAAATGTAAATATTTATATATACAAAGACAAATTTGTGCTTCAACGTGTTTTAATAGTCACTGTTTTTGTAATGAAATGCTGATAATCTAGAAGAAGTTATGAAAAGAAGTTAAAGAATTATATAATCACAAATATTACAATAAATGCGAATGTTTCCAATTTCTACTTTTTACGTTAACAAAAATTATTGCTGTCTATACAAATAGAGTATATGATCAAATTAATCAAAAATAAAAGACAAAATGCGAAATCTATCAAAAATTATAATAAATTTTTATATATGTTCGCATAATTAATAAGATATATACTATATATGATAAATTAAAAAGATGTATTATTGTATGTATATATTTATATATTATCGTATATGCTTAATAATGCTATACATATATTTTTTATTTAAAACATATTGCAATAATTTTATATTATTTGTAACATGTAGTATATGTATCGATCATCAACAAATTAAAAACGCAAAAACCTCTAATATTAAAATATCATGAAAAAATGTCTCCGTGTATATAATTTTTATTCAATATACAGTACCCTTTATAAATTTAAAACACCTTACATTTTACAGTTAAACAATCGTATGGTAACGATCTGTGTAGATTTTTTGTACTAATAAATCGTAAAATATTTGAATAACATTTTTATTTATGACAGATCGCTGCCATGCGATTGTTCAACTGTAAAATGTAAAGTGTATTCAAACTTGTAAAGGGTACTGTATAATATATAATTTTGACTATTTACTTGAATTATTTTTCTCTTTCGAGTATATAATCCATAAAATATGTTTAAAAACTTTGAAGAATTATTAACGCAAGATTAAGAAGAATAATTCATATAATATTCTTCATACCATCATATAATAAGGTTACTAAAAATGTGTAAATTTTATAGTAAAATTTAAAATTTAACGAAAAATATTCTTTCTGTATATAATTTTTATTTAACATAGTTTTGACTATTTGTTTGAATTATTCATCCCTCTATCTCCTTCTCTATAAAATATAGAGTCTGTAAATAGTATCAGTAAGTTTGACGAATTATTAACCCAAAATTGAAGATAAGAATTATTTACACATATTTTCTGTCATATACAAGATGTCCCAATTTTACAAGATTACTCATTAATGAGATTCTTAAGATTATTTAAAGACGATTTTTTCTCCTCAAAAAGGAAGGTGATCTTTTTGCAGGCTCTTAATTTTTGTTACCATATATTTTTGTGATTAAGTTTTAAATTAAAATTTTAGTAAATTAAATTACATTTAAAATTATTTGAAAGATGGTATTGTGTTGATAATTTATTTCCACAAGGCTTATTAGTTTGTGAAAAATCTTTCATTTTCAATCGCTTATTACTGAAAAATATATGAAATCGAAAAATACATGAAAAATAACTGAAAAATTATTGATATCTCGAAAATTAATCTATAATTAACCATAAGTCTGGGACACCCTGTATATATATATATATATATATATATATGTACCATTTATCGGGTTTGTCAACGAGTTTCATCTCGAATTCAAGAACAAGTGATCGCGAAACGAAAACGCAAAGAGACGAAACTTGCAACATGAACAAGCTGGATTTTCAATTTTAGCTCATAAAGCTTTTTTACATCCATTACAATATTTCACATAAAATAGATTTTATATTCGAGAATTTACATTAAAAAAATTAGAATTCAAAATTTTGTAAAAATAAATCCTTTCACCGATCCTTATTTAAATTCAATATCAGTCATTTTTTAATAGTACCTACGCTATTTATGTAAAAGAATTTAGTTTAATATTTCAAAATTTACGGAAGTTAGAGCAATTACAGATATTCTTTGAAAAATTGAAGGTACATATTAAAATCTAAAAACACTATACGAATTTTTATAAAAGTGACGATAAATAAAAATTGTACTACTTTACTTATATCCTAAATAAGCGCTGTAGCTCAAACAATTATTGAGTAATAAATGTTTGATTTTTCGGAAAAGTAGTTACATACATGCATGCATTAAAAATATTATTTTATTGAACTGCACAGGGAAAATATTTAAACATCTTAATAGCTTAATATCATCGAGCTGTAGGCAATTTTAAAAAAGAGTGAGAAACAGATTTCCTCCTTTAGCATCTTTAAAGCAATTGGCAGATAGAAGAATGAGACAACATTCCACTGGAAAAAGGCATGGCCCAACATCTTATTAAAACAAATATAAATATTTTTTACAGGTGTTCACATTATTTTGTTTAGCCCCTGTATATAATAAGCAAATATAATAATATATAAATATATACACAATAAAATATCTTTTTTTTTTAATATATTACATTTTTTAAATTATTCCAGCATACATAAAAATTAAAGATAATTTTTGATAGATTCGGCATTTTGTCTTTTATTTTTTATTAATTGGATAATTGACTTTAATCATTTTGGCAGAACTAATTTTTATTGTTAACTAAAAAAGTAGAAAATGGAAAAAATTTGCATTTATTGAAATAATATTTGCGATTAAATAATTTTTGTAACTTATTTTTCTAATGTATAAGATTATCGGTAGTGGATTACAAAATCCGTAACTATTAAAACACAAATTTGTTTCTGAATATAAATATTTACATTTATACAATAAATTATATACGCGTTTTTTCACGACCTTTCTTTTTCTGCTTGATAGCTTCTATATTCTTCGTTAAAATATTTTTATTTCGTACTTATTGTCAGTAGTGGTCTGATACAAAGCAGATATCATGGCAACGTCAAGCTCAGTAAGTAATACTTGGGTTTTAGATTATTGCACGATAGAAAATAATAAGGCAAAATGCGATATTTGTTCCTGGAATCATAATCTTATTAAACAACAGTTAAACCAAATAAAAGCTCACATAACAAGTAAACATAAAGAGATTTATCAGAGTATTAGCTCATCATTAGCAATCAGCTTTAGTTCAACAGAATCGACGGAAGTTTATACAATAAAAAATTATGACGTCTACTGCAATTTTGTAATCAAATTTTTTTTGGAGACAAAACGTTCCGTTATATGCAAAATCATATAACGAAAACTCATACAGTTGAAATAAATAAAGCAAAAGAAATCTACAAATGGCTGCAACAACATTTTGATGAAAATAATATGGATGCAAATCGTGCCGTTGCTATTATTGCAATGATGACATTCCAAATAAACCAGTATTTTTAATGTTTCATTTGATACAAGTGCATGCGGCTAAAATACCTGAGGCGATCAGACCAACAAAGTAAGAATTTAATATTATTACTTTTCGTCTATTCACTTATTAATAAATAAATAAATAAAAATAAATTTATGTACAATACGTAGAATTGTGTATAACTAACAAAATAATAAAATATAGATATTTAACATATATTTATCTCGAGTAATATAATTATTCTAGTCTAGTATTATACAGTGAAGTACTATATGACAATTTGAATATAAGTGAAATTTTGAATAAATATAAAAAGTGAATTATAAGAAAAAAAGAACTTTTGTACCCGAATAGCATTTTTATATTGTTAATTTATGGAAATATCAAATTCGAATTTTGAGAGACGATCGAATACTAAAAGTATTTTATTAATGATTGTGTTTCATAATTATATTCACTGTACAATTTATACACATGATTTAAACAAAATTTTATAATATTGATTAATTCAGCATTTAAAAAATTTTTTTATTTTTTTACTCTTTATTATACAGATTATGGAAGTGTATTGCAAATAACAACGAATGGATGTGGAAATTTGTCACAAAATATTTATTAACAAAAAATGAGGAACATGTAAATGCAATATTTGTGATAAACGTTTAATCTATTACCGTAGATTACGCAACTATAAATCTCCACATATATCGTAAACATAAAACAGATTATGGAAAACGGATTTCATTACAAGTTTTACATGAAAAGAACCTTTTTTCCATAGAAAACGAACAAGCAAAATGCAATAAATGTTCACATATTTGTTCTATTCGTTATATTGATCAAAACAAGGAACTGGAAAATCATTTATCAAATGAACATAAACTTGATTACGCTCAAATGAATAATTTTGTCAATTGGCTAAAATTGTATCGAAATGTAATTTATTTTCAAACATTAGAATGCAATGCTTGCAAAAACATTTCTAATGACAATTATTTTAGTTTAATGAGACATTTTATTGAAGAACATCCAATCAAATTTCTCTTACATCTAATATCAAGAAAGTAAGAAAAATATACTTTATTTTTTATATATTATTATCTTTTATAAAACGCGTTTAGAAATATTATAATTTAATAACTCTAAATAAATTTTATCTATAATGAGCAGAATTGTATGTAAGTAAAATTATAAAAACTAAAATATTTCATTTGTGTGTTTATTAAATATATTAAAAATTAATGTTATATAATATATATATATATATATATATATATATATATGTATATATATATATATATATATATATATATACAGAAAGAGAAAACACTGATAAATTTGGTATATCGTTATCTTAACGTTTATTTACATATATTTTTGTGAACGCAATTATAAATATATATTACAATAAAAATGATGTATAGAGTATATAAAAATGAATAAAAAACAGAAATTTGATATACATGTATTTATCATAAATAATATTATTTAATATCGAGGCAATTTAATATATAGTACATATCAATTTATATTATATTAAAATACAGTAAAAAAGTTTAGTATATTTAATATTTTTATCTAATAAATAACGATGGTGGTGAATAAATATGTTTAAATAATATTGAAAGAATTTATTGTTCGAACAGTATTTGCATATGTCGATCTTTTATTATGAGATGTTGCGTTAATAAGTTCTTTCTTATTAATAATGATTTGTGCTTAATAATTATATATTATGACAATAATAAATTTATACATATATAATAATTATTTGTAAATCATCAATTTTATTTTTTTCCGTACAGATTATTAGATAATTTACAAATTTTAAAAATATTTAATGATGCTAAGGATATTGCTAAACCAGGAGGCAGCAATCAGCAACCACTTCAGAATATTAACCAAAGTTCTTTCAAAATCACATCACCAAGGTAAAAAAACCAATAAAATCAGACTTACTATATTTCTTGTTTCATTTATTCGTCTATTACTTTATTTATGTACATGTATAAGTACAATAGATATTACAAAGAGTAGAATTGTATATATATTGTATAAATTTGTTATTTACTATATTTAATACTCCTGTAATTTATAACAATTTAGATAAGTATATAGATTGTGAATAAATAGGAATTATATAATCTGTTAGAAATGTTTGTGTTTGAACATTTTAATATAATTGCATATACTACTAATTTTTATTATATAAATTAATTCAGAAATTTTTATTTTTGTGCGCAGGTTATCAGATATTTCAGAGTTTAAAAGTTCTGATAATGACATAGAAAATGTAGGTACATCAGCAATAAGCAGCTATGATCAGCCAACTCCGAATATTGATCAAAGCTCTTCCAATTACACATCAAAAAGGTAAACGAAAGCAATACAATGATAATTACTATATTTCATCTTTTTAATTATTCATCTATATTTTTATGTATACGTATAAGTAGATATTACAATGAATAGAATTGTGTTGCATAAATAAAATCATAAAATTTCGTCAGTTAGCATATGTGTTTGCCCTTAAGTATTTTAAATATTCGAATCAGATTACTTACAATTAGCCATATTCAAAAATACGAGTAATATAAACTTGTTAGTTATTATATATTCTTATTATATTCAATATTCTTATTATATTCAATATTCTTATAATTAATAAATTATGATATTTTTGTTATATATAAAATTGTTATATGAATTAAAGAATTGGTCAGAAATTATTCGAATGGAATTTATATGTTGAATATAATAAAAATTTGAAATTCGATTTTACCGTGAAATATATTTATTAATAATAAAAGTGTTTTGTTAAGGCTCCTGCGTACTCGCCGCGGCTATGTTAGATTGTGATGTCAGATGCGAGAAAATTTGAATGCTATTTGTAAATAAAAAGTTATTCTAATGAAACAGAAAATTTCAGATAGCTTTAGTATACTTTTAAAATATTTTGAACACTGTCTTTTTTTTATAATTAATTTGCAGTTGTAAAATGTGGCAATAATATGATATGAAATTTGAGGTTTAATCTGTACTCGTATTAATTCTTGCACGCATGCACAGCTATTTCGCAGGACAAAGTCTTATGTTTCAATTTTTATTTACGGTTAAAGATTGACTGCGCCAAAGGAAAAAATAGTTTGCGAAGCATTTTAAAAAAGATAATACCATTTAATGTTGCGCCTTATCAAAATATCTTTCTGTCTATAAATGGCACGCAAATATTTTGAAGTATATGTTTTGCCTCTGACGTTACAATCTAACATAGTTGCGAGTATAAAAAAAAGCCATAATTACCACAATTCATATTTAATAATTATACATTGTACATACACATTAATTAAACAAAACATTATTATATTGATTAATTTAGTAAATTTTATTTTTTATTCCGTGTAGATTAATAAATGATAAAGATTTAGATATTTCAAATGCTGATGATGATGCTGAAGATAATGCTACATCAAGCTGTCAGCAGCCAGTTCAGAATGTTGATCAAAATTTATCCAAAATTTCACTAACGAGGTAAAAGGAAATTACGATAAAATCTGTATTACTTTATAATTTCATTTAAATCATTTATCTACATTTTTATATACATAAAGTGAATATTAAATAAGTAGAATTGTGTATAATTGAATAAAATCATAAAATTTAGATACAATTATTATATGTTTATTGTAAATAATTAAAATATTTCAGACAACACATAATTTTTGGTAACCAAAGTTATATCAAAATACGGTAATACAAATTCGTTAATTTTACTATGTTCAACATTCGTGTAATTGATTAGTTGTGACAATTTAGATAAATGTAAATTGTAGAAAATTATATGAATTGTATAATTTGATTGGAATGTTAATACTTGAAAAAATATTTATATATCGAATTATGAGAATATTGAATTCAAGTTTTTCTGTGGAAGATGTTTTAATAAAAGTGCTTTGTTATTAAATAACAGTTTATATTTAAATAATAAACATGTATAAAATCAGTTAATTTAACAAATTTTATTTTTATTCTGTGCAGATTAAGTGACGATGACAAGTTTGAATGAAGACTTAATTACTAACAATGATGGCCAAATTATTTTCCTTAAGGAGTTTGAAATGGTAATTAAAATTAGGATGCTTGCTATTACGGATATAATAAAATATGAAATTAAAAAATAATTGAATGTGTATTTTTATGTAATTAAATGTGTATTAAATTAAAACGATTGATTTAGATGTGTATTAAATTTTGTGTATTTTTTATGTAATTAAATGTGTATTAAATTAAAACGAATAAATTTGACGAGATTCGGTCGAAAGTTTCATTTTCAAGATAAAATTCTAAATTTTCTGTGAAAATATACGTGTTGGTTCTAACTTTTATTTTTGAGAAAGCGTGCAAATATTGTTTACATAAATAGATTCTTCGTGTACATAATAGAAATTTGACAAATCAAAATTATATACATATTGTAGAATTAAGAATTATGATTATGCATATAATCAACATACAGCAAATTAAAATTTCATGATATGGAAATTCGCCGAATCAAAATTATGAACTATAATATAGAAATTATTCTATGTGTATCCAAACTTGTGAAGGGTACTGTATGCAATAAATAACAAATGTCCATTTATAAGACTGTTTTTTGTTATCACGATTAATATTATTTTAAATAAAATATTGATAAAAAACATTCCATTAAGTTTATATTTTTGCATGTTACAAATATCTAATTAAAGAATATTTTTTTAGAGAATTTTTCCCTTAAATTAAGACGATCCTTTTGACAGATCTGTGCAGATTTTTTGTATAAATAAATCATATAATAAACATTTAAATAATATTTTTATTTATAACAGATCGCTGCCATGCAATTCTTTCACTGTAAAATGTAAAGTGTTTCCAAACTTATGGAGGGTACTGTATAATATATAATTTTAACTATTTACATGAACTATTTTTCTCTTTCGAGTATAAAATCCATAAAATATGTCTGAAAATTTTGAAGAATTATTAACGCAGGATTAAGAAGAATAATATATATAATATTTTTCATACCATTATATAATAAGATTATTAAAAATCTGTAAAATTTATAGTAAAATTTAAAATTTAACGAAAAATAAACTGTCTGTATATAATTTTTATTTAACATAATTTTGACTATTTGTTTGAATTATTCATCCCTCTATCTCCTTCTCTATAAAATATAGAGTCTGTAAATAATATCAGTAAGTTTGACGAATTATTAACCCAAAATTGAAGATAAGAATTATTTACACATATTTTCTGTCATATACAAGATGTCCCAATTTTACAAGATTACTCATTAATGAGATTCTTAAGATTATTTAAAGACGATTTTTTCTTCTCAAAAAGGAAGGTGATCTTTTTGCAGGCTCCTAATTTTTGTTACCATATATTTTTGTGATTAAGTTTAAATTAAAATTTTAGTATATTAAATTAAATTTAAAATTAACTGAATAATGTTATTGTGTTGATAATTTATTTTACAAGGCTTATTAGCGAAAAACCTTTCATTTACAATTGCTTATAACTTATAAATTATTAATATCTCGACATTTAATCCATAATTAACCATAAGTCTGGGACACCCGTATATATATATATATATATATATATATGTATATATGTACCATTTATCAGGTTTTTCAACGAGTTTCGTCTCAAATTCAAGAACGAGTGAGTGCGAAACAAAAACGCAAAGAGACTAAACTTGCTACATGAACAAGTTGGTTTTTCAATTTTAGCTTATAAAGCTTTTCTACATACATTACAATTTTTCACATAAAATATTTTTAAAAATTCGAGAATTTACATAAAAAATTATAATTAAAATTTTGTAAAAAAGAATTATTTCACCGATCCTTATTTAAATTCAATATCAATCATCTTTTAATAGTACCTACTCTATTTATGTAAAAGAATTTGGTTTAATATTTTAAAATTTACAGAAGTTAGAGCAATTACAAATATTCTTTGAAAAATTGAAGGTACATATTAAAATCTATAACACTATACGAATTTTATAAAAGTAACGATAAATATAAATTGTACTAATTTACTTACATCCTAAATAAGCGCTGTAGCTCAAACAATTCTTGAGTAATAAATGTTTGATTTTTTGGAAAAGTAGTTTACATACATGCATGCATTAAAAATATTATTTTATTGAACTGCCCAGAAAAAATATTTACATCTTAATACTTAATATCATCGAACTGTAGGCAATTTTGAAAATGCAGATTTCCTCCTTCAGCATTCTAAAGCAATTGGCAGATAAAAGAATGAGACAATATTCCTCTGGAAAAGACAATAATGGCCTAACATCTTATTAATAAACAAATATAAATATTTTTTTACAGTTGTTCACATTATTTTGTTAGCCCCTGTATATAATAAGCAAATATATTAACATATAAATATAAATACAAAATAAAACATCTTTTTATTATTTCAGCATACATAAGAATTTTATATAATATTTCATAGATTCGGCATTTTTGTCTTTTATTTTTTATTAATTAGATAATTTACTTAAATCATTTTGACAAACTAATCTTTGTTAACTATAAAAGTAGAAAAGGGAAAAATACGCATTTATTGAAATAATATTTACAATAAAAATAATTTTTATAATTTATTTTTAATAATAAATATAAGATATCTGTTATATAAGATCATCGGCACTGGATTACAAATACCGTTACTATTAAACACAAATTTGTTTTTAAATATAAATATTAACATTTATACAATAAATTATATACGCGTTATTTCACGACCTTTCCTTTTTTCTTCTGCTTGATAGCTTCTATATTCTTCGTTAAAATATTTCTCTTTTGTACTTATTGTCAGTAGTGTACAATTTCTGATACAAATCAGATATCTCATGGCAACATCAAACTCAGAAAGTAATACTTGGGTTTTTGGATTATTGCACGATCGAAAATAATAAGGTAAATGCGATATTTGTTCCTGGAAACATAATCTTATTAAACAACAGTTAAACCAAATAAAAGCTCACATAACAAGTAAACATAAAAAGATTTATCGGAGTATTAGCTCATCATCAGTAATCAGCTTTAGATCATATGAATCGACGCAAGTTTATACAATAAAAAATTATGACGTCTACTGCAAATTGTGATGAAATCTATTTTGGAGAAAACAAAGCGTTCAGTAATATACAAACTCACATAACGAAAACTCATAAAGTTGAAATAAATACAGCAAAAGATATCTACAATTGGCTGCAACCACATTTTTACGAAAATAATATAAATGCAAAATCATGCTGTTGCTATTATTGCAATAAAGACATTCAAATAAAACCAGTATTTTTAATGTTTCATTTGATACAAGTGCATGCGGCTAAAATACCTGAGGCGATCAGACCAACAAAGTAAGAATTTAATATTATTACTTTTCGTCTATTCACTTATTAATAAATAAATAAATAAAATAAATTTATGTACAATACGTAGAATTGGTATAACTAACAAAATAATAAAATATAGATATTTACATATATTTATCTCGAGTAATATAATTATTCTAGTCTAGTATTATACAGTGAAGTACTGTATTTTAAAACTCCTATAATCAGTGATATGTGACAATTTGAATATAAGTAAAATTTTGAATAAATATAAAAACTGAATTATAAGACAAAGAGAACTTTTGTACTCGGATAGCATTTTTATATTATTAATTTATGGAAAATTCGAATTTTGAGAGACGATCAAATACTAAAGTGTTTTTATTAATTATTGTGTTAATAATTATATTTATTGTACAATTATAACATGATTTAAACAAATCTTTATAATATTGATTAATTTAGCAATTTTTTACTTTTTTTATTTTCTACTCTTTATATACAGATTTTGGAATAGTATTGCAAATAACAGAAATGGATGTGTAAATTTGTCACAACATATTTAATAACAGAAGGTGGGGACGTACAAATTGCAATATTTGTGATAAACGTTTATCTATTAACGTAGATTACGAAATATAACGACACACATATATGATAAACATAGAACAGTTCATGAAAAACGGATTTCAGTACAAGCAGTTTTCAAGAAAAAAAAGATATTTTTTCTATAGAAAACTATCAAATAAAATGCAATAAATGTAAATATACTTGTCCTATTCGTTATATTGATCGAAACAATGAACTGGAAAATCATTTCTCGAATGAACTAAACTGATTACGCTCAAATAAATAATTTGTCAATGGCTAAAAATTGTATCGAAATGTAATTTATTTTCAAACATTAGAATGCAATGCTTGCAAGAACATTTTTAATGACAATTATTTTAGTTTATGAGACATTTTATTGAAGAACATCCAATCAAATTTCTCTTACATCTAATATCAGAAAAGTAAGAAAAACATACTTTATTTTTTTATTTTATATTATCTTTTATAAAGCGCGTTTATTTAAATATTATAATTAATAACTTTAAATAATTTTTATCTATAATGAGTAGAATTGTATGTAAGTAAATTATAAAAACTAAAATATTTCATTTGTGTGTTTCTTAAATATATTAAAAACTAATGTTATATTAAATATATATATATATAATATATATTA